ATAATTTAATCAAAAACCGGCCGATTTTTATTAAACTTCTTACAAATGTTGAATTAATCAAGTAACAGAAAGTATTGTGATCGACACTCATAGAAAGAAGTAGAAAGATAGAAGAACACACTAATTAACATGAAAATCGAAAGCTATAGTTACCGTGCCAGGAATTGAACCTGTCACCTCCAGACGGCGTCTGCGCCACGCCATGAATACAAGTGCACTAAGATACATGGTCAACTAGGCACCCCCAAAAAAGGTGTTTTTTTGGCCATGTCTATAGTACAGCTTGAAATCCACAACTATGGAATACGGACAGAATTCATTTCAACCCTTGAAATGGCACCATAGGTTACGGAAATTTATATTAACGAAGCAAATGTCGAATAACAAACACAGCAAGAATTTACGAACACAGTAGACCTTATTGCTTTGTCTAGAATACACAAACATTTAAGAAATGTTGATGAGTATGCTTTCTTTTAAGATGTTAATATCGCGCCACGAAGTTCTCATTACAATATGTTTCTCTCTCTCTCTCTCTCTCTCTCTCTCTCTCTCTCTCTCTCTCTCTCTCTCTCTCTCTCTCTCTCTCTCTCTCTCTCTCTCTCTCTCTCTCTCTCTCTCTCTCCCTCTCTCTCTCATGTTGTTGTACCCAACCAGGACATCACACAAGCCATAAACACCCGATGACACAAACTACCACCAAAGTATGAGGATCACCGGTAGAGAGGTCCCAGAAACAATTTTCAGCCGGTATGGCCACATCTATGGTCCGGCTATATTCAGGGCTACCGGCAAAAGCCAGGGTTTCAACAACAAAAAACAAAAAATAATTCCCTCATGGGGACAACTACAAATTATGTGTGTTTCTCGACCTCTAGTCGGTGTTGCATAACACTGCACGATTGCTAATTCGTCTACTTCAGAATGGCGTTCATTGATGGAGATACATTTGCGAACAATTTTTTGAACAACAAAAATTATGGCGCGAAAATATTTATAAACAAACGAGTTGAGGCGGACTCTCCTAACGTCTGCAAAAGATGGAGGAAATTGACATTGTTAGGCGTCGGAAAGGCAGCGGTGGAAAACGGACTGTGAGCTAGAGCAAAGCAACAATAAACGCAAAAGTGGTGTATCCGACTAAAAGCGCGTGTTGCAGACGGCTGTGGATATATTTAAAGCACCAATTTGGCAAAATGTAGATCAACATGTCACAAACACTTGATCCAAATAATATAATGTTTTGATGATTATTGACAGAGTTATTTAAAATATAAACAAAATGTTATTGATTTTATTTTTGTAATGGGGACATACTAGGAACAAACACTAACAACTTCTGATGGCTGACCTATGCATTCAATGTGTCTGTATGCTAGTGTATATGCTCAGACTGCAGTCTGTATAAATTTTTCCGACAAAGGACAGTGACGGACTTTCTGTGTTGTTTTCGTTGGCACAGTACGCGAGCAACTAACTATGGGGTGACTCGTCTTCTATGAAGTCAGAACTTTGATTACCTAATTACCTGATGTTTGTTCTTTCAGCTAGATTGTATCTCTTATGTTTTCTTAGGATGTCTGCTCCTCGCCCCCCCCCCCCCTCCCCCTTTTCCCCACCCTTCCACCGAGTCCTGCTATGAGGAAGATGGTGACGATAAAGATGAAGATTATCATAGTGTGCTGGTGTTTGTGCTGGTATTACTATGATAATGAGGCCAACTGTCGCATGACAGCATCCACACATCTGCCACAGCAGGAAGGTCCATATAGCTGACCACCCTAAACTCGTCATCGTCACTATGTAATAGAATAGGCCAAGCATAGTTAGATAGTTTCGTTTGTTGTGGGGAGTCCTGATAGGAAAAATCCAATATAAAACCCTTTGATAATGACTCTTTTTAGGCTTGAGTGTCGAATTAAATGTTAGGAACGCCTTTTCTACGCCTATTCTAAATTGGTAAAGTTGTCCTGACCACTGCACTGCATTAGGTGAGCCGCGATTCGTACGCTAACTGCTGTGTTAGGGGACGTGTTTGTGTGCGTCACTCTCTACAGTCCGGTCTTGGAGGCAGGCGTTTTTTTTCCTTGTGTCCTCGCCAATTGACCGTTATACAGACAAGATTCCTTGTTCTCTTTTTTTATTTACAATGGGTGAGTTTTCTTAAGGACTTTTAAATTGATTATTTGAGTTCATAGTGTCTGTGATGTAGGTAAGTAGGGTCAGCAGCTGGATAATGCGAATCTGTTTTCCTACGATTCTTGCCAAGGAAGGTGGCGAAAGGAGCTCCAGATCGGAATGCACTTTCGGTTGACATTTCTCGCAGAATGCTTTTGAAATGGCCGTTTAAACCTTTTCAATTCAATCAATCTACATATCTGGAGTGGGTTTGTAGTATTGATAAACTTTGTATCGTTTAATTATTTACTAGTAGTTTCGGTATCAGAACTTGGTAATTCTCTGAAATGGTTTTTTGAACGACTAGAAGCTTATGGGCAGACATGACGTCATGTCCGCTGTTGCTAGGTGATTTCGTAACCACAACAAGCTTCGACTGTCGTATTGTTTTCATAACAATTTTCAGTAGGTCTGTGTTTTTGACTTCATCGCCGATCCCTTATTTTCTACGTTAGAAGGAACAGTAAATAATGGGGATCTGTCTAACCTTTGCCACAGAACTGAATCCAAGGAACTCTTCGAGTTAATGATCTAGTGCTCACTCTAGGAAAACAAAAAGGATTCTAGGATTGAGGTACACAACCTTCATGGTTTGGAATAACCTAAAATATATCTGAGCATTTGGAGGAAGTAAGGACCTTGATTAAATTAGGTACGTTGAGTACGGTTCGCTCATGTCTGTTATTTACGTTTTTCCAGGATTTTCTGAAGATCCAACAAGTGTCTACGTTTGATAGTGTGGTTCCAACTGCCACGACCCAGTAAACGTTTTACGTATGCTGAATTACGGTGTTGAATGTGCGGACGACAACCGGTGCCGGAGTCCCTCAATAGTGACTTGAGTTTCCTGAGATCCGCACCTGAAGCTGATTCGTTCCGGTGAAGTGAGGCGACAGTCCCGTGATTATACTAGAAGCTGGATTCGTTCATGTGTGGTCGTACTGGGAAGTACGGCAGAGAGAGGTTTCCTTTCCGGCATCCGGAGAAGCTGATTCAAGTCCTGTGTAACCGTGCAGTAAAGTACGGTGGCCGTATTACTCCACTCTGAGACGCTGAGGAGCTACGAGATCTGATCAGATAAGTGACGTGGCAGACTAAGATAACTCGTCTCCAAAATGTGCCTTCATGGTCATGTTTTCTCCTTCGCCGTGATCAACACGATAGTCTATAGGTCTATTTAGACTAATTCTTTCTCTTGTGTTAGAATTCAAAGTTGTGATCGTTCCTTTTATTTTCTTTCGCTAACGGTTTTCATTAACTTTGTTATAGTAAATTAATTACAATCGTGATGAATTCAGTAGTCTTCTAGTTGATAGAAAAGTTTTGTGTTTACTGAATTTTATTGTCTTATTTCAGAGAGGCAGTGTTGTCTTGTCAAAATTCGCTGTTGATTATTTGTTCGACTGGACTTGTTTTTTTCCGGTCTGGGGGCAATTAGTGGTGAGGACGTCTGGCGAGAGGTACCCAATTGTTCATAAAAACCCTGTGGAGTCCAGAGCTCGTGTCACTCCTCCCTGAGACAGGTTGAATGGAAAGTTTGAACCGAGGGTTAGCCTCTATGACGAACGAGAGCCACCATTCAAAACTCTCCTGTCTCAGAGCACCTGAGGGATTTGTGAAAATATCCTGTAAGTAAGGTGCGCGACAAAACTGCCATACGACACCAACGACGACGAAGATGTAGAGGTGATAATACTTCTTGCTTTTCAAGTTCTCTCTGCAGTGATTTTAAGATGAGAAGACCATATGCCTTTAAGCAATCTGTGGAGCGAGACATTCTTCCACTATTCCATACGTCTTGTTTTCAACCATTTTCTTTTTAAAAATCAAAATATATTTTAAGTTGCTTCTGAATTTTACCATGCAAAATTTGTCAGTAAATGTCGATCAATAAGTCTTGAAGCAGGTCCTTTGCACAACGTCGCTTTTATCCTAGTCTGCCTGAAAGAATCTTGGTCTCTGACCAGCTATCCCAGCCTGGTGCACTTTCTTGCCCAATGTTTCATTTATTTCCTGTGTCCATGTGCTGAAAGAAAGCATTCTGCCTCACACTCTTGAGCACCAAGAATCAACCAGCCGAACCTGGAATCTCTCAACTGTGATGAGAGAATGCATTCTGCCTCATACTCTTGAGCACCTAAAACCAACCAGCCGAACCTGGAATCTCTCAGCTGTGCTGAAAGAATGCATTCTGCCTCATACTCTTGAGCACCTAGAACCAACCAGCCGAACCTGGAATCTTTCAACTGTGGAGAAAGAATGCACTACTGCCTCACATTCTTGAGCACCTAGAACCAACAAGCCTAACCTGGAATCTTTCAACTGTGGTGAAAGAATGCACTACTGCCTCACACTCTTGAGCACCAAGAACCAACAAGCCGAACCTGGAATCTTTCAACTGTGGTGAAAGAATGCACTACTGCCTCACACTCTTGAGCACCAAGAACCAACAAGCCGAACCTGGAATCTCTCAACTGTGGTGAAATAATGCACTACTGCCTCACATTCTTGAGCACCAAGAACCAACAAGCCTAACCTGGAATCTCCTAACTGTGGTGAAAAAATGCACTACTGCCTCACACTCTTGAGCACCAAGAACCAACAAGCCGAACCTGGAATCTCTTAACTGTGGTGAAAAAATGCACTACTGCCTCACACTCTTGAGCACCAAGAACCAACAAGCCGAACCTGGAATCTTTCAACTGCATGTAGAGAGTATGTCTGTAGCAGATCTTCAGCTTTCTGTGGTGTCTGTACAATGGCAAAGTTATGAACAGGGCGATGATACGAACAATTAGTGTCACACGAATAGATATACTCACTTGATAGTAATCACTGTGACCTCAACTCCTCTAAACCCTGTGATGTTTTTAAACAGGTCTGCCAGCTGTAACAAACAAGAAAAAATTACCCACAATCATCTCTCATTAATGAGCAGTGACGTGGAAAATACTTACTATACATAAAATAAACAGTTATTTGTGTATGGTCAATACAGAATTCACAGAACATCACACAGAACATCACACAGAACATCACACAGAACATCACACAGAACATCACACAGAACATCACACAGAACATCACACAGAACATCACACAGAACATCACACAGAACATCACACAGAACATCACACAGAACATCACACAGAACATCACACAGAACATCACACAAAACAAACTTTTAGATGTTCACAAAATATGACTGCGGCACCAGCATGAAAGCAACAATTTCCATTTCGGAACATTAAATGTCACTGCTTGATTGCTGACAGCCCATTATCTGTCTCTGCTTTGCCAGAACTAAAAAAAAACTCTTATGAATCTCTGCCCATACAACCACAACTGTGCTTATCGATATGAAACCTGCACCCACAACTATACTAGTTTGCATAAATGAATGGCTGAATGAATGAATGAATTCTTCTCTCTATCGCTTGAAAAAAGATTGTCTATATCAGCAATTTTGTCTTTAGTATGAACTTCCCTGTCTTTTGTAATTCACTCAGTGACCAGTTTCTCTTGACCAAAAGTTTTGCCTTGGTATTTTGTCTTTGGGACAGTCTTAGAGGACGTGATCTGTCTCAGGTCTAATCTACATGTACACATGGCTGATTGGCCGAACTGAAGTGTTGTGTACATGTTTCTCTGCTGCTACTTTGATGGCTTGAACTTCTGCATCATAGTTGTGACAGTGCTTTCCTGTAGGTATTTTTGCTGTATATCTGGTATTATTTGGATGCTCAATTTACACTCCTACTGGGTCAGCTCTTCGTCATATATGACCGAGCTACCGTATAATAGTAGCCGATACCACCTGCCTTCTGTAACACCGAATGTTGGGCGGCGTATACAAAACCTGACATTCCATATTGTGCCAACACTTGTAGTAAAATGAAGAAGTCATACAGTTTTTGAAGTTTGGTATATGTGTTTCAAAGGGTAATGCATATAGAGCTGTAACGTTTTATAAACACCCCGTTACAAATGTTGGTGATCCCTTTCAAAACTCTTTTCTTGGAGATTTAGGCTCGTGTAACTTTAGTATTGACTCCCTACATCAAATTGTGTTTTCAGCTGGTCTCTCAAAGCCTTTCAATGTTGCCTAATTCCCCAACAAATATGACCTTTATATAAACATTTCAACTATAGACAAGGAAAACGTCCTGGTTACAGTGTGCGGGGGAGCTCCCGAAGCTACTGGTCAATTGTGTTCTTTGTCAAAAGTGTGGTCACAGATTCTCTTAAAGTGCCGCTGCCACACCACACACACAGAGTAGAAAGCTCGTTGCCAAGTCAGGTGTAGAAACGCTGTCGTGTGGAACACTGCATTTAGTACCAAGCAAGAATGTACCTCTTCGTACCTTTCTAAGACTTTTATATAGTTGTGCTAATACATAATTTACGAAATCCGGGTTATTATGTTTTAGACACTCAAGTTATGTTCCTGGCATTTTTTGTTTGGCCTGCTGATGGTTGGTTAGCTTGCTGACTGCCTGGCTGGTTGGTTAGATGGTTCACCAGTTGCGAATCCTGGAGAAGATCGACTTGTAACTTAGAGAAAGTTACGCTATCATTATGGTGGTGTAGGTCCTAACTTAGGGTCTGCGTAAATCAGGGTGACACTGTTGTAGAGTGGTCTTAGCATCGGGTTGTCAACTAAAGTACCATAATAGGTTCTTTCGTAATATCCTACCCCAGAATACGTCACAGGAGAGTCTAACATTTTAGAGGGTGGTAAGACTGGGTTTCCCAGCTTTCTGATGCTTTCAACGACCCAAAAACCTCTAGAACTGGCCCTAACCCCAACCCACCTACGTTCCACGAGAGAGTGCAGCCCAGCCTATCTACCACCCCCTGAAATATTAGTCTGTCCCATGACCTGTGGATTTCCCCTGTTTGGGGGGAAGAAATTTAGAAAGCGCCCCAGAATCAAACCGACAGCTGTAGATATTTTCTTTCGGGTTACATGCAGAGACAAAAGAGGAGTGTGCAAGACTAGTACCCCAACTTCACATCTTGTCACCTGTAGCTGACTCCAAACACACTCTCAGGGGCAATAGTGACATCTTTTGTAGGCAGTAAATTATTGTGAATTTTATTGCTTCCTCGTTAATTGATTTGATCGTGTTCATTGGTCTTGTATGAAAAATGTAACATCAGATACAGTAAAGCAAACCGAATAATGGGACAGCTAGCCCGCTCAGCACCCCCCCCCCCCCACAACCCCTTTTCCGAGCTACCCTCCCCTCTTGATGCCCCTATTTTCCATTACAGCATAAGACAATCCCGACCAGCTCAGAAAGTGTCAGACATGGTTACTCACACTAGGCAAGACAAGAATACAATTAGTAACTAGGGAAATGTGACTCTGAGAAGGGCTGCAAAGGTGACCAGAAGAGGTAAAATAAGAAACGAGCTCACAAGAGAGAAAAAAGTCCACAAATAATTCTAATGAAAGACAAAGACAGCAAATCAAATAATTTGCCCACTGAAAGAGAATGCCGTGTGACGCCATTGCATGCAATTCATAAAAAATGGTGGAAGGACAGAGCACACGGTAGACCAAGAGCAAGATGGAAAGATAACATCACAAAAACTCCACAACAACAACAACGATGTGTCTGTGTTCCACGCGGCTAGAAGAGCAAGATGGAAAGAAAACATCACAAAATCTCTACAACAACAATGATGTGTCTGTGTTCCACGCATCAAGGAGAGCAAGATGGAAAGAAAACATCAGAGAAACTCTACAACAACAATGATGAGTCTGTGTTCGAAGCAGCTAGAAGAGCAAGATGAAGAACCTGATATCTCCCTCGACACCGGGCGCGGCAATGGAAGAAGAAGTTCACAAATCTCAAGTTCCATTCATTAGACTGACAGCCAACCACAAGCAACTAGCCATCCAACCCCACACACACACACACACAAAACAAATAAAGAATCAACTAATAGGCTACTGATCCCATGGGGTAACCAACCATCCAACCAAACAATATATTACAAAGAAATTAATCACACTCACCCCCAATCATGTATGTATCCTTCATATACTAACAGCTCTACAGACAAACCTGAGGCTCCAGCTGCGACTTGATCTCCTGCTTCCTTGCTGCGTCCAAATCCTCGTTTGACATCACAGTTTTGAATTCACTTTGGCTTGTGAAGCTAAGATCTGGAACAAACACCTCGTCTGGCGATGCCAACTGTGAAGAAAACGAAATGAAGGATGCTAACTGTGAAGAAAGCGAAATGACAGATGCTAACTGATAAAAAGCGAAATAAAGTATCAACTACCGCAGTACTTCGCTGAGAGAAATGAAGTATCAACTACCGTAGTACTTCGCTGAGAGAAATGAAGTATCAACTAACGCAGTGCTTCGCTGAGAGAAATGAAGTATCAACTACCGTCGTACTTCGCTGAGAGAAATGAAGTATCAACTAACGCAGTGCTTCGCTGAGAGAAATGAAGTATCAACTACCGCAGTACTTCGCTGAGAGAAATGAAGTATCAACTACCGTAGTACTTCGCTGAGAGAAATACCGTAGGGCTTCGTATCAACTACCTTCAACTGAGAGTGAAGTATCAACTACCGTAGGGCTTCGCTGAGAGAAATGAAGTATCAACTACCGCAGTACTTCGCTGAGAGAAATGAAGTATCAACTACCGTAATACTTCGCTGAGAGAAATGAAGTATCAACTACCGCAGTACTTCGCTGAGAGAAATGAAGTATCAACTACCGCAGTACTTCACTGAGAGAAATGAAGTATCAACTACCGCAGTACTTCACTGAGAGAAATGAAGTATCAACTACCGCAGTACTTCACTGAGAGAAATGAAGTATCAACTACCGTAATACTTCGCTGAGAGAAATGAAGTATCAACTACCGTAGTACTTCGCTGAGAGATGTGA